CTACCTCGATGCGACGTGCATCACTGACAAGTACATCGATGTTCATGTCGCCAACCCGAACATTCCGGGCTACTTGTGCTCCGGCCTCGCGACAGACGCGAGCAACAGCATGCTCCAGCGGAAGAGCTCGGGAGGCAAGCAAGACGGATGTGGCGCAGGCCGAGCGATGGTCGCCGAGTTGGTCCAAGCGTCCGTGGAAGGAGCACGTGCGTGGAGCACAAGGCAAGGGGAGCCAGAGGCGCCGGAGCAGCAGCACGCGGAGGTGCGCCGACGGCACGACAACGGCAGGGGACGTGGGGAACGCTGTGAAGGCACGGGACGCCTGCGAGAGCAGCAGCGCTCGAGACGCGGGTGAACTACGCGCCATCTGCGGACACGTGGACGTCTTCCTCTTCATGGGCGACCAGGAGGACGCCGAATAGAACTGGATTCTGGAGGCCATCCGCAACAAGTTCAAACGGGGCGACTGGGAAAGAGATACCTTCGCGGAGGAACCCGTTCAGAAGGTCTCACATCAACTAGACCCGGTACAAGAGATACCTTTGCGCAATGCGGGGTCCGAATCAGAGCGACGCCAGAGGGCTATGAGGTATCCCAGCCTGGCTACGTCAGCTGAGGTGTCCTTGCTGCTCTCCGAGACCAGCGAGGGAACCGTTGCCACCACTAACAATGCCAACCACCTGCTTCATCAAGCTCAACTTCGACACCAGCTAGCCGTGAAGATCCACGCGTTCCCGAAAAACACTGACCTCGCCATCTACGCCTGGATTGACCCCGCCAGCCACAACCGCACCAAGGGTGGCAGCACCCAAGGAATCCTGCTGGGCATCGCGCCCACAAGCCCGCGAAGGACACCGAGGTGTCACCAATCTGTTGGCAATCTAATAAGATGGACCGGGCGTGCCGGTCACCAGGAGCCGCCGAGGTGCAGGCGGCCGCCAACAAAGATGACACTTTGCACTACGCTCGCTACCAATGGTCAAAGATGCTATATGGGGAAGTGAATGCGCGAGATCCGGAGACTACTGTGAAACAAACAGCTGGGTGTCTCATGACGGAGTCCCGCAACGTGTACGACAAGCTCAACAGACCTGGAGATCAGATGGGTCCATTCGGAAGCACAGCTTGCGAATAGGCTTACCAAAGCCGGCACTTCCCGAAAATTTGAGCTCTACTACAAGATGGGAGGACGCTCGAGGGTTATGGAGGATCCCTCAGCCCCTGCAGAAGGAAACTGAAATTGTGAAGTGTGTGTGTGTGTTTGTTTCTGAGGACTGTGGCTGTGTTTAGGAGCTGGGGGCCATGCAAGTGCTGACACAAGTTCAGCACGTGAGCTGGTGTGACTCAGCTTCTGCGCCTCGCAGATGTGTGACCAGCCAAGAAACTATTTTTTTGTTTAACGCCGTGCCGGGGATTTCGCTGCCTAGCCGCGAAAAGGGGACCCGTCTGCACAAGCAGTTCCAGGAGGGTGACTCCGTCTTGAGCAAGCAAGGCCACTAATCCGGGATCGCACAACTCACCTTAGAGGAGTCTGCGACTGGCTTCAAGTCGCAGGCATTCCAGCCGCGCGGCATCAAGCAGAGCACCGCATCTGGATCACCAAACGGCAACCTGGCGGCTCATGTACTTCACCCGACTGGAGGCGTTGATGGGCTCGAAGGACACACTCTGCAAGGTGGTCATGTTGAACATAGGGTTGGAAGACATGCTCACACACTTCACCGTAGCGGTTGGCTTCAAGAAGACGCTGGCTTTCCAGCCGCGCGGCATCAAGCAAAGCAAAGGCTCGTCAGGCGAGGGCATCTGGATCACCACAAGGTTTGGAGGACGCGCTCGCGCCCTTCACCATGGAGGAGTCTGTGGCTGGCATCAAGCAGAGCACGGGAGGGCTCGACAAGTGAGTGATGTTACAACGCTTTGTTTTTGAGTTTGGAGGTCTGATGGCCTTCATGCTATTGTTGAATTTGATGTCCCGATATCACCTCGATGAAGGGGTTTAGACATCTTGGGTCTCACCGTCTCACCGTGTAGGGAAGGCCCGTGTAGGGATGGCGTCCTCTGACACCCATGAGGAAGATCCTGCACTACTTGGGTCCGATATGTGGATCGTATATTGTCTGGTGCTTTGATCGCCGACTACGGAATACAAATCATCCTTAGTTTGCCAGTTTGCCGTGCAGTTTTACGCATCGTCCATGCGCCATCTTTCGATTTGTTGTGGGGATAGGGTTTGGTGGTTACATCCCACCCCTGTCTGGTGAGCGCAGACTATGTTTATAGATTTCTGCGCAACCTCCCACGTTTAATTGCTGCACGTCTTAGGCTGCCTCCGGCCTGGACTCCGTGCCTTGAAAG